TTTTGTCCCTGCATGCATTTGTGTGTGTGTGTGTTTGTGTGTGTGTGTGTGTGTGTGTGTGTGTGTTTGACAGAGAGATAAACATGTAAAAAAGGAGAAACATTGTGTGTGCATTAATGTGCTGCTGTGGATTTATCCTCTTTTTTTCCCCTCCTCATCCTTCTAAATGCAAAGTGCAGGCGCAAAGCCATTAGACCGCAGAATAAGTGAGATGAGTTGGGAAAGTGTAAAAAAAAGAAAAAAAGAAAAAAAGAAGAAGAACTGTGGGAATATGCAGCTCAAACCACACAAACACACACTCACCTCTGTGTGTGTTAAAGGGTTTGAATCTTAGCCAGATATCTCCTGAGTCTCATTACGATTGTGCTGATCCTACTAGACAGAGACAGATAAAACAGAGATGTTTACTGTTGTAATGGCGTCTGTGGAGAAAAACAGAATCACACCGCAGGGACGAAGCTTTGATGGTGAAAGTAAGCATCCATTTCTGCTTTTTGAGTCTGTCTATTCGCTGGTTGAAAAGCCATTGGAGAGGATATCTAATTAATGAGGCTGAAATGTGAGATTGGATGTACTTCTCCCTTTAAAATGAAGCTGCTGGCGAGAGCAGAGGCTCAAGTGGGACCCAAAAGGCTTTACGTAATATCCCTATCTAGATAGAGCTGGACTGGACCAAAGGAGGGTGAAAGGCTAAACAATGTTGGACATTAAACTCCTCAAATTTCCATTGAACTGTGAAAGTCAGTAGATAAGACGCCCGTGAAACTTAATTCAACAACCAGAAATGAAACACAGTACTCAGACTGGATGCAGATAACATAGGATTGCAGAGTGAAAAAAAAAAAAAACATGTTTGATTAGATTGTAATGAGTTGTTCCACCAGCCGGGAATCATCATCAGTGAGGATTTCAGACTAAGATCACTATCAAATGTATTGACAGAGAAGGATTTAGCCCGCAATGGAGAATAAGTCAAGCTAACGCCAAACAAAAGCGATAATGAGTTGTTTTAAATGCATTGTCTATTTGAGGGGGGCTAATTCCTCTATCTGGAGTCCTCATATGCAGAACAAACATTGATCAGTAACCTATAATATGATTGAAAGTTTAAACTAAGCAATCTGAGGTGGTAATATTTGTCAGTGCCTCCATTGGTGCTAATTTGTTGCTACAGCATCATACATCTCCTCCCTCCTTCAGAGGGAAATATTCTACTTTCTACTCCACTACATTTATCCGACAGCTACTACTTACTTTTCAAATTAAGATCTTAATATCACACTAAAGCAAAGATTAGAGGAAGGTCCAAAAGCATGAACACAGATTTGTGTAGCAGAGCCTTCTTCTTTTTTTACACTTCAGATTTGTTGTGACCCACAGGAGGGGACCAGACCCGAACTACCTGACTGTACGCACTGTAAAGTAGTTAAAAGTATCTCCGCCTCAACCAGCAACAACAGTAAAATTCTGCTAACACATTGACGCATCAGTGTCGACAGTGTAATAATGTCATAATAATATATCACTCACCGGGACTGCAGAGCCAGTACTTTTACTTTTGATGGTTTGTAGAAATTCTGCTGATAATACAGCTGTACTTTTACTTAATGGTCCCATATTGTATAAAGTAATATTTCCATGTGTTTTTTGATTATAACGCAAGTCTAGGTTCTATATTAATACTGTGAAAGTATCAAAGCACTCAGTCCACAGAGGAATGCATACAGACTGTATTCAGAAACTGAGCCTTGAACGAGCCGTCAGGACTTCCGCAACTTTGTGATGTCACAACAATGAAGTCACAACCACCACCATCCAACCTTGCAGGATTGGGTTTCTCTGAGTGTCTGAGAGAAGATGTAAAACTACATTGAGATGATGGTTTTTGGTATTTAAAACCACAAACATACTGGATCTTGTTATGGATATAAAAACTTATATAAAAACACCAGAAAAGTTTAAAATGTGGGACCTTTAAGTCAGATTTTCAATGCTGGGCTTGGATACTTTTTCCACCATTTACCACTCTTGGCATGGGAAACTATAGGTTGTATGCTAATGGAGTCACCTAGCCACTCAGTCGATACCTGGCACAGCCAAGGTGTCCATCAATATCCATGTGTCCTTCAGCAGGACAGTAAACCTTAACATGCTCTCTCACTTTATGGGGTCCTGGATTCAAATTTAAGCTAGCATAAATTACAAATGTGATTATAATCTTGGAAGGAAAACCACACAGCAGAGCAAAAAGGCAGCAAGTGCTGAGGGCAGGGAGATAGAGGGGAAAGTGTTAGAAAGAAAAAGAGGGTGTTGAGACCGTGGGGCTAACAATTAAGGTGTTAAAGTGACGCTTTTATTGAGGTAGACTTACAAGGGGTCCAATGTGTGTAATGAACCCAGCATCCCAAGCACTACCAGCAAGCATTAATCTAGTAGTGGGACAATATCATGCAGTAAATTAAGGCTTTTGCTGCTAAATGAATGAACCTGATGGCACTGTTAGAAAATGATATGGCATAAAGCCTTTCTAATGTTGCCTTTTGATGCTAAAAATAGTCACAGTGTGACAGAGAAGTGCTGTGTCAGGAAGGATAAAAGGGTGGATAAACTTTTGAAGTGGCAGAACAGGGCTGTGCGTTGGCCCTGTAGGAAGGCTGAGTCAGTGGATGAGCTCTTCATCCCAGTGGGCTCCAGTTCTCATCCACACAGTGTGATGTAAATGTCACCTCCACCAGACTCAGTCATTAAAGCCACACAGCTGGATATATGCCAAAGCTTGGATTGACATTAAAAAAAAGAGGGCTGGTAAGGGCTAGGATAAGACTGCGATATAGATGCAATGTATATTGTGTAAATTAAACAGGTAGAGAATGATAAAAACCAAGAAAAAACTAAAAACTACACCAATGAAACAACTGAACAGGGTTTTTATTATCACATCTTTGCCCTGTGGTAATCACTGCATGGGTCTACACTCAAAACTCAAATATCTGACAAAGCTCTTCTATGCAGTATCCCCTGTGATGCTCTCAGGTTGATGAATAGGGACTATACATCACTGTTTTTATTGATTTCAGATCATGTTGGAGTTCTCTGCACCAATAAACAGCACCATGGGTCAATAAATCAACCTCATGTTGTATTCATGTACACCTCAACCAGTATTTTACCTCCTGCACCTCATTATTGTACGGTACAGGAGTGAGCAACTCAAGCTAGCAGAGAAGCTGAGATGCAGATATTTAAGTAGAGAGCAATTTAAACATGTAAGCACATAAATACATATACGCATAATGTTAAATATGGAAGATACTGATGGAAAGGAATACAGTAGATGGAAAAGAATACAGTAGAACCACGAGATTTTGAGTGAGTATATATTGACATTTTAATGAACTAAGGTTCCATCTTCAAAGTTATCCTCTACCTTGGTTCTGACATTCTACCTGCAAAGCACCAATCAGAATTTGAAATGACTAGAGGACCATCCAAATTCCAGCTCTTTACTGCATCAACGTACTGCTTTGTGACTGAGATCACAGGGGCTTAGATCACAAAATAAAGCTCAAGCTTTAATTTTGCAACCTAAAATCGTTATTTTATCGAAAACAACAATACACTTTTACTAATGGCAACTAAGAGTAAAGTTTCAATCATCTGATGCTAACTCTACCATATAATCCCATTATTAATAAAAAATATCATATATGGATTTTTTGTGTTAAAGCAAAATAAAGTTTAAATGTCAACATTTTTCAACATTTGTTTTTTAGTTCTCAGTAGATGGCTGATAATAGATGGTTCTCTCTACACCAAATCTTGAAAATCACACTTTAAAATGGAGATAGACTTATCATAATGTACATTTCAAATACATTTTAGATCAAAGAGATCAAAGATCAAAACCATTCAGTTTGAACATAGAACCTTATAATTCCAAGGTCATGGACAGGGAATAAATATAACGCATGCCAGCAAATGAGGGCGATTCAGAGAAGCAAACATATTCATAAGAAGGCCAGTGGATTACTTTATATAACTGGAGTGAACAGACAAACAAATGCAGCTAAATAACAAGGTTGTGGACCTGGTTTACTGTTTCAGCACCATGGACAGTGACAACAGTGAGTAAAGTCAGTCAGTGCTTCAGCACCGAGGACAACGACACTAGCGAGTCAATCAGTGCTTCAGTGCAACAGCGAGTAAAGTCAGACAGAGCTTGAGCACCATGGACAGCGACAAAAGCGAGTAAAATCAGGCAGTGCCTCAGCACCATGGACAGCGCCGCGACTCTGCACGTCCGACCTGAACATTTGGCAACGTTTCAGGCACGAGCGGCCGCTCTGAACGGCCAGACAGGGATTATAATACCGCCATTATAAAAGAGGCAAGGTGACCCCGTTGAAATGTATGAAAATCCCTCCAGAAATAAATCATCTGGGGTAAACAAATGCAGTCTCTGAGTCATACTTCTGCAGTTCCAAAGCACAACATCTGGTTTAAACATGCAAGATGTGACAGTGAATGCAGCAGAACCTCGTGGAAAGGGTCAGCGAGTGATTTTTGTCATGATTTACATGAGTTCCACTCGCATTAAGAATCTCATTTCAAGGTTGGTTTCAACAGCATCTTGACATGTGTAAAGGTAGCACACGATCAACATCTAACAACAGCACGTAGTGTCAAACACACTGACGTGTCATTTGTGAGATTTATTAAGTGACCAGACAGCGCCGCTGAGCGCGTATTGCTCTACAAGAGACGTTACTGACGCGTCATTTATTGACAGATAAGCCAGCCAATTGAGGCAATGACGCACAAGTTTGACAACTTTCCCTTTAAAAAGGGGCAGTTGTAATTAACAGTATAAATAAGGGACAATAAGTAGACTCATTCTTTTCTTGGCCCTAGATCAAGATATCTTGTCATTTCAAAGTCGATTACTATGTATAAAGAGCGTATTGGTCTGATCGAACAAAAGGTGATGTTAAGTTTCTTACATCCTCGTCCTCGCAGTGCCGACGGTACTGATGCTGAGGCCGGGCTCGCTGGTTCTCCGCCGCCCTCTCCCCCTCCACACCTTGCCCGAGGAGATGGCTCGCCTCTGGAGGGTTAGGGAAGGATTTGTTTGTGTTGATCTTGCCGGTGAATCTCTGATACAGTGACGCCATTTCGACTATTTGTCAAAAAAAGAGGGAAAGAATAACTTGGAGAGTCTGTGTTCTCAATCAATAAATGCAACAACAACAAAAAAAGTCCAAGTTAGAGAAGGTCAATGAATAATGGCTGAGGTAATTCGATTAGAAGATGCTCTGGTTCAGTTTGAAAAAAAAAAAATCAGTCCAAGCTGTGTTCAGGATTCACATCACGTACTTTCAGGCTCACTGGTCGGGTCTCACCGATGCTGCAGCGACGCAGTTTCCACACTTTCCCCCAAGTTGATGCGAAATTGATACAAAAGCAAACGAGTGCGGGTTACAGGAGACTGAACGAAGCACTCATGATCCGGACCCGAAAAACGGAGGGACGAGCCTCAGCGATATCCTGTCTCCCTCTTTTCCCTCCCTCGTGGCAGAGAAGAAAGTGACCGCTGATAACCGCTGAGGGACTGGTAGGTCTGTGCCTTACACAGACCCGCTGATGTACCAAACAGCCGCGAACGACCCAGCGCAACATTAACAGATCAGATATCAGAAGATTTGCGGTCGAAACTTATCATGACTTAGCAGATAGAGTGAGCCCAAGTACCTCTATTTAGTTTTTTTTATCTTTGCCTCCATTTGGCTCTGGAGGTGTCGTGCGGAGAGCAAGAGTGCCCCCATGTGGAGGGAAACGCAGACAAAAAAAAAAAAGTTGACAGGCCTGGCACATTTTCAAGGAGACAGATTTTGCTAGACCATAAAATAAGAAAATTAATCCGTCTGACATCACTCAGGGAGATTTTACACACACGTTTTTTTTTCCAGGTTTCATGTGAGGAGTGACAAGTTGTACTCATTTGTTTCCCATTTAAATGCAATTGCTTGTTTCCTTCCACTAATTCCACAAATACAACAACTTACAGGTGAGACTTGTCAGTCACATGCAGCTTGGTTTAGATAAGTGAACTTATATGCAATTAAATGAAGCTGCAAATACAGTGTTGCTTCATACATAAAACCTTTTTACAGCTGAAGCTATACTGTACAGTGCACAGCATGTGAGTATGGCTGCAACTAACAATCATCACTAATCATTCCCAATTAATCTGGTGATTGCTTTCTTGATTAATCAACTCGTTTTGTTTAAAAACTGGGGGAAAAATAGTGAAAAATATTCTTTACAATTCCCCAGAGCCCAAAGAGACGTCTTGAAATTTACCCATTTTTATCAATCGATCACCTTATCAATCTGTATAGTTTTATTATTTCTACATGTGGAAATGAGTCATGAAAAAGTGCAGTTAAATTGCTTAAAACCATTGTATGAATGTTTAAAGCAAGGAGCTGAGTCCAGATACCAACCTGATACTACATCATCTGTCTTTATTTGCACTCCCAGAACAGGAAGAGTCATTTCATACAGATCCAGAATCTGTAATTCGATTTGCTCTTGATTGGCCTCACAGGATACAGAACGCCGCCCTCTGTGGCCCCAACGAGCTGAGCATGCTGGGAATTTTCGCCTCACAGAGACAGAAATGCAGAATAACTCATCCACTCATCACAGCCCACGTAACAGGCAAGTTGCAAGAACAGGCACAAGTTGGAGAAACTTAAAGCCTCATGAAATGCAAACATCCTCCCTACTATACTTTCACGGCTCCACCTGCAGCAAAACAGATTTACTTTCCAATTAAGACAACTTTCTAAAAGACGTCTGCAGGGTGTGTTTTTAATCTAAACAGATTAGAAACACACCTTGCACTTCTTGACTTGATTACTCAGCTGCAAACCCACATACACAGATAGTACACTCTCCTGCTCTGCTGTGGCTTTGCAAAAAAATATTTTACCATTGATTTCCAAGAAATGTTTCATAAGAGGAAAAAAAAAAATGCTTCCATGTGTTTCTGCACATCAAATCCATCTCAGACTCTGGCACAGGACCCAGAAATGCAATTCAATTTTCAGGCACTGTAGTGATGTGATTAGGAAGGGGAAAAAAAAAAAAAGGCCGGGTAGCAAGATTTGTCAAACTGCAGGAAATCCGGAGGGTACTGATGCAGTACATTTCAAGGTGGACTGAATATGTGGAACATCTTCAAACTGGTTATTAATAATGGAGAAAACGAGCGGGAAGACACTTCCTGGACCTGCAGTGAGGTCTGCCTTTACACCTTATTAGATCACCCCACCATATCGACTACATAGGAAGCATTAAATCTGATTATTTCTAGGGCCTGTGAGGAGTTAAATGCAGCAGGCTGTGGTGGATCAGATCAGATCCTGCAACTGGGCAGCAGAGGGCAGAGCTGTCCCCAGCCACAGTCTCCTCTTTGTGGGGAAGGATTGTCTGATATCAGCTGGTCGGGACATCACAAACTTCCAGGTAGACAAAAGAAGCAAAAGAAGACAGTATTTTATCTGATCACAAAACAGAACAAAGAGGATTTAGAGAAGCTCCAGGTTCTTTTCATTCAATTAAGGACAATTCTCATTGAATCATGTTATCATGCATGAATGCAGCTTTCCCCTGTGGGCGCTTCCTAGAAACCAGTGACATGGAATTGTTCCAATATTCTGCTCAATTTCCTCTTTTGTGCTCTGATGAATTTTCATACATCAAAAAAAAAACAAAAAAACAATTTAAGGTTAAAAAACAAAAACAAACACAATTACTAACTCCTAACACTCCCATATCTTCAACACAGCAGCTAAATTAGAAACAGTAGATACTACATTTTCAAAAACAGAACAAACACTGGCATCTAGTGGATAAATGCAGCTTCATTCATGTATGTTTATTTCTGAATACGCAGCTCAATGTGCTGCTAAACAAATAATACCAACATTGCAACTTCATGCAAAAGTTGTTAGCAGCACCCATGGGTTCACACATGCCAGCACGTCCCCTTCTGTCGGCCGACCACCATGATTTATGATGGATAGTTTCTCATTTCATGCTCCTGTGCAGGAGCTGTACTTATCAAGCCACATCCCCTCCCTGGACTGGAACTACTCTGGAGGGCTGCACTCACTAAATCCTTTCCTCCGTCATAAAAATGAAGGTGGTGTACAAGCAGCTGCCACAGTAAGGTGGCAGAGGGAGTTGTCGGGTCACTGTCCACAGTTATTTCCAAATGCTGTGTCATCGCCGGCGCATTTTTAAACTGCGGGGCTGCCAGGCAGAAATTAATGTGGCCGGAGGGAGGTGGTCAATCATCCTGACAAGCTTCAGGTAACATGAATTAAACAAGAGGATCAATATCTCAGGTGCTGGATAGTGGAATAAAAAAGATTAAAATTTTAAAAGCATGACTTAAAGGGCAATTTCACCTAATTACAGAAAAAAATACTATTTTTTTCTACCCTCAAAATACAGTTTCCCCCTTTTTGTCTTTTTGAAGCTTTATGGTTGAAAAAATAATCTCATTCCACACTGTCAGACACTGTCAGTAAATCTGCTTGTTCTCACTCTTTGAAGCTGGATGATGTTTACACAGTGAAATATTCAAACACAAGAATCCATGTTCTTAAAAGCTACACTATTCCATCAAGAGGACATATTTTAGATGTAGACACATTTCCCAAAGGTTAGATTCATTTATTCAGCATCGCCACTAGAATTTAAAGGTTCATTCAGATTGATGTATTTGGTATCTTTCCACTTGAGTTTAAAGGTCCCATGTTGTATAAAGTGAGATTTCCATGTATTTTTTTATTATAAAGCAGGTCTAGGTTCTATATTAATACTGTAAAAGTATTAAAGCCTCAGTCCACAGAGAAGTGCACACAGCCTGTATTTAGAAACTGAGCCTTAAAACCAGCCGTCAGGACTTCTGTAACTTTGTGATGTCACAACCAAGCAATAACCACTCTAAGCCACGCCCCAAGCTGAGCGCACCTGGACCCACCATCCAAACTGGCAGGATTTGGTTTCTCTGAGTGTTTTTACCTGAAATCTGCTATATTTTTATTCAATCACTCAGAAAACAGGCAGCCAATCAGAAGAGAGGTTCAGAGCCTCCTCTCTTATAATAGGCGACCTGTTGTTACTAGAGCTCCAGAGAGAAGCTGAAAAGAGATGTAAAACTACATTGAGATGGTTTTTGGTTCTTAAAACCACAAATATATCTTCTCATGGATCAACACTTCAAATAAAACACAAAAGTGTCAAATATGGGACCTTTAAAATAAAGTTCTGCAGGTCTGAATAATGTTTGGCTGCACAGCATAAGAATATTATGGGGTTTGCAGCTTTTTAAAAGTGTTGCCATGTAGATAGACTAGGTTGAAAAACGACATTCATTTATTTAACGACTCTCTTAACAATCCCTGATCAGTTTTCTGTGTGGGAAACAAATAGGCCTACGCAGGTTTTCAGTGTCAGTGCAGCTGTTTGATTATCTCTGAGTTTGAACACAAGCTGTAGCCTGAGAGCTAGCTGTAGCAACAGTCTGTCTGTCATCATCTAAAATGGATGAAATGAGAGAATGCAAGCCCACGTTGTGGAGAAAGATGTTTCAGCATGTTGCTGGTGTTTCCAGCCTTAAATTACCATTTTACAGACATCACAGTTCAGACATTCCCGCAGGTTGAGAATTAACTTATGGTGATGGGTGGCGTGGCATGCGACCGATGTGTGCATGCAGAGACTAATGCAGTTTAGAGGGGGAGAGTGTGGCCCAGGTTATTTTATGTTGCCACAATTTACAGGTGTTCCATAAACGCCTCTCATGTATGCTACTGGTAGATGTGAGCTAGGCGGCTGTGCACAGAGAAGCCTGTAGTTTCCATTAAGGGTACTGCAGCTCACACAACTCGAACAAAATGTCATATTTAACTAACTAATGAAACCGGGTTAATTTATCCATGTGGGCGGGCTGCCCAAGTAGAGCCAACATGGGAAACGCTGCATTACAGCCATCACTGTCATCATCTTTCTTTGTGAAATGAAACCACGCTTTGGACCGTTGCTTTCACTTGTCGCAAGTTTCAGTCAGTGTTGGCGCGAATTATTGTTGATATGT